GGGGGGGGGGGGGGGCCGGGTGTTGTCACACGTGTCAGTCACATTTCACATGTTTTTTTGCATGACTTTGCCGGTGGACCTGATCTGCCTCGGCGACCCCAGGCCGTGGAAGGACAGGCTGCACAGACCCCCCTGCACACGGAACTGCACCACAGACAGGAACCTCAGTTGCAATGGCGAGTGTCGGTGGTTCTGCACGTCGGCACCCGTACCTGTGAGGTCTGTCCCCTTTTGAATGTCACAAACCCGTCGAGTCTCAGTGCCCCCTGCCCGAAGTCCTGCACAGGCGGCCCTCTCGGCGCGCCTATCGAACGACCCAACTCAATCTTACGCAACGGGCCACGCACCCTGCACACACACCACACCACACACACTCACACGACTCTCCGCCCGTCACGTCCCTCTCCCTCACCCGGTATAGCTATCATACCTCAGTGCCAGTTCGGTGCTGCCCCTTCTGTCAAAGCTGCCAACGCTGCCCGATGAGGCCGATGAGCCTGGGGGAGGGGAGGGGAAGTTGGCACCCACCCCTACAGCAGCCGCTCCTGCTGCAGCTGGGGGTGCCACTGGCGCGTCGGTCGGCGCGTGCAGTGGCGATGCGGGTGTGTTGGTGTTGGTGTTGTTGTTGTTGGCTGCCGCGGCGAGGTGTGTGGTGGAGAGCGGCTGTAGGAAGAGCCTGTAGCCGGGCATGGTGTAGGCCACGAGATAGTGCGCGTTGAACTTGTCGAACGCCCAGTGGCTGTGCTGGTCGGCCACCACCACACGGCACTCCTGAAACAAACAAAACACGTGTGTGTGTGTGTGTGTGTGCGTGTGACCCCGACGCACCTTCATTTCCAGCTCTCTGTTGGCGAAGTCGTCTTGAAGCGTCGCGTTCTGGTAGAATGCCCAAGCGTCCTTCTGTCAGCCAACCCAGCACACAAATGCGTCCACACGTGTGCCAACGGCCTGTCTGTCTGTCTGTCTGTCTCACGGACTGACTGAGTCACCGGTGGCTTGGCCTTGAGGTTCCCCGGCTTGAAGAGCCCGTCTCGGTTGTTGATGATCATCTCCTGTATGCTGACGTTGAAGTGCGCCTTCCCCTTGTGGTGCGCAAACACAATCGTCGCTATGCGCGGCTCAAGCGGACGCACCTCACCGTCACCGCTCACACGCACCACCAAGGTCTCCAGGTCAACGAGCTCCTCGTCTGTCACGCCGTTTGCGTCGTGTCGATATTCCTCCTCCCACAGGGCCGCGTCGTCTTGCTGCTGCTGCTGCTGCTGCTGGTCGTCGAAGACTGCTGCTGCGGCGGTGTCCTCGGCGTCGCTGTCGAAGTCGTCGGCGTAGCGGCAGGCAATCGACAGGGGGACCTTCTCCTGAACGAAAGAATCGAAAGCGCGGGTGACGAGTGTGAGCTTGTGTGTGTCTGTCTATATGGTACCTTTCTCCTCTCAATGGAGATTGAAAAGGCGAAGTTGTCTAGGGGTGTGGAGGCCCCCGGCACCACCTGCAGCTCAACCTGACAAGACACTCAGACACACGACAGCCATTGCTCCGGTCTGTCTCTCCCCTCTCCCGGGCACTTACCTCATCGGGTCTGTTTGCGTCGCGCCTGACGAGCATGACGTCGCCGTCCTCGAGGTCGCTGTCAAACGATACACGGCAGTACGGACGCCGAGAGGCACCACCATCTGACGTACGTGACACACACCGACAGACAGATAGGTGGGTCGATGGGGGCATGGGTAGGTGACCGCACTCGACTGACCTCCGCCAACGTTAGTGTCGCTCAGGCTGGACGAGAGGTGGTGTGCGTCGGGGCCGGCAAGGAAGCGAGCGCACGGGGAGAACTTGCGGAACAGATCCGTCAGCGAGTTCACCTGACACACAAACGGAGGGAGGCCCAACAAACAACCAAACAAACACATACATACACCACACGGAACCACACAGAGAGAATCCCTCTCTCTCTCTCTCTCTCTCGGCTGCCTGCCTGCCCACCTCTGCATCCTCGATGGGCAGCTCCACACCCTTCCTCGCGCCAGCCCCCATCCCATCAAGCGCCCCCACACCAGCCAGTGCACCCACTACCCGCTGCACCGGCGGCTTGCCGCCGCCGCCACCGCCGCCCGTTCCCCTCCACCCAGTCCGCTTGAACGAGTCCAGGATCAAGTTGGCCTTGGCCACGGCATCCTCACACGGGATGCAGTTTGGCGGCATCTGTGCCATCGGCTGCTGGAGGGGCTGGGGCGGTGGGGGTGGGGCGAAGGATGGATGCGAAGCGCCCAGTGTGCGCATGGCAAACTGCGTGAGACCTGGGTACGACGACGTGGCTGCCGATGGTGATGGTGGTGGTGGTGGTGCTGGTGGTGGTTGCCTGCTCTCGGGCGGCTCTTGCCGCTGTTGTGACGGAACCCGTCGCTCCTCACTCATCCTGGGAGGGGTCTCCGTCTTGAGCGGCCCGATCATGCGGTCGACAAGGGACTCGTTCATCTCGTCGGTGGTGGCCCGGTCGACATCCACCGACTGCTCACGCATGTAGTCGTCCGCCGTCACGGTGCCGTTGGTCTGCGCATAGGGGATCGGCAGAGGTGGCGGATGATGTACTTGAGAGAAGGGCTGCGGCGCCATGGCAGGGGGAGGAGGCCCACCGAATGAGATGGGAGGGCCATTGGGCGGTGACGGCAGCCTGCCGCGGGGGTGGGCCTGAGGGTGTGGCTGCACCTGCATCTGCATCTGCATCGGCCAGTGGTCGTTGGTTGCAGGTGGGCCTGGTGGCCTGGCCGGCTGGCCATGGTTGTACTGGGGTGGCGGGAGGGGGTACGGGGGAGCCACGAAGTGGTTGGGGGGCTGGGGGAAGGGGGACGGCTGAAGAAAGGAAGACAACAAACAAGAGAAAAGAGGCAGATGCATCCAAATGCAGCGGGTGTCATGTCATGACCAGGTGCTCAGCCGCCTCGCCTCACCTGTCCGAACATGGCTCTGGGGTTCGGGGGGTGCCGCGCAAGACCCATCTGCTGCAGCTCTGCAGTAGGCAAGGCAGCAACGATGGGCAGAACACGCACATGAGAGAACGCACCCCAGGCCAGCAGCGCCTGTTGTGTCTGTGCCCCCCCGGGTCTTACGGTGTTCTGCGGCCTCGACGTACATCTCCTCGCGCTCAATGCGATCTGTCATGACAGACACCAGAGTGACAGCGTGTTGTCTGCCTGCCTGCCTGCCCGAGTGCCGTGATCCACGCGCCACTCACCTGTTTCGTGGCGGTTCTTTCGCACGCTCACGTGGAGGTCGGGATGGTGCTTCTGAATGTGGTCGCTGTAGTTGCTGACAGAACCAACAGCCACACACACACACACACGCACACACACACAGAGAGAGAGAACGAGTGAATGAGTGGATCTCCCTCCTTTGTCCGTCTGCCTCCCTCAATGATTCACACCTCCGCACTACAGACCTGTATGAGATGGCCTTTGGTGGGCTGCAGTGTGTGCAGACCTGCCACCACTCGCCCGAGGCCTTTTTGGAGTCGACGAGGCACTTGGGGTGCATGCGGCACTGGCTGTGTGGGTGCATCTGGCCGGTCGCCTCGTCCAGGGCGAACAGCACACAACCCTCATCCCCCGTCTGGCACAGCAAACACTGACGCGGGTCATGCACCCTAAACACACACACACAACAAACACACACACATACACACACGCACGCACAGCAGCACATTCAACTCAGAGTCTGAGTCACTTCGCCTGTCCTCTCTCCTATGTGCGGGCGGACCTGAGCAGTTTTCTGTTGTCGAAGGTTTTGCCGACAGCCTCCTCGGCCTTCATGTAGAGCCCATCTTGCAGCTTGCCCCACCAGACGCCGTCATAGAGCGTCGGCGGCTTCTGCTTGGGCTTCCGTGGGTGCGACATTCGGTCGGCCGGGCGCAGGTCAGACGGCGATGGATGGTGGGATGCACCAGACGGCCTCTCGCTTTTTTTGTGGGAGGAATTTCCCCGGATGCAGGGTTCGGGTTGCTGGGTTTCTTCTGACCAGCTCGCAAACCTGGCCTCGGCCAGGAGATCTCTCCTAGCATCCCCTCCTCTCACCAAAAGACCATGGGCAGGTGAGGAAGGGTGACAGAAGGGGAAGTGCCTGTGTTGGCGGCAAAGGTCTGCAGTCTGCGGCGAGAGGAGGGAGGGACCGGAAGAATTAAGGATGTCAGCGTCATCAGCGCGGGTGCTGTTCCCCTCGTTCTTCACGTTCGCATGCTTTGCGGTTTTTCTGTGGCCCCTGGTGCAGACCATGTGAGATATGGACACACGCTCGATGGAAACAGACAGCACGATCCACCTCGTCTGTACGTTCGTCTGTTCGTCTGTCCGTCTGTGTGAGTTCAGCTACCTCACCACTGACGTCAACTTCAGATACTGGGTGGGCTACTGGATGCTTATCTGCCTGGCCCTGCCCGTCCTGTACCTCGCCACCTACGTCATGCACCTCGTCCGCACCCGGCCGTCGCGGTCGCTCATCCTGGCGAGTTTCATTGCAAGTTCCTGCCTCTTCAGTAAGCGAATGCACTTCTGATGGATGGATGGATGGATGTGTGTGTGGTGTAGTTGTGTTGGGTGTGGCGCTTCTCCTGTACTCTAGTGGACTGGGCGACCAGCTGCTGTCCACCGACTGCGCCACGTGGAAGCGCACTCGGCCCCTCGAGCAGACCTACCAGGATGCCAGGGAGCTGTACGCCTGCTGCCTCTCCGAGCATGGCGACAACTCACTCAGCCAATACTGCCCCGCACCCGCAACCGCAACCGCAACCTCACCCACAGCCAATGGCACATCCAGCAGTAATGGGCGGCAGGACATCCTGGTGACAGAGTGCGATAGATATGAGGACCTCTACAACGACCACAAAGGTGATCTGGCCTACCTGGCGTACCTGGAGACCTCCTACTACTGCAGCGGCTTCTGCACTGTGGCCGAGCGGCCGCTCTTCACCCGCACCCTCCAAGGCAACGACGCGTGTGCCGAGGCGGTGGCGAGCGTGATACGGTCCAAGGTGGATTTCCACGCGGTGCAGATGATCAGCTATGGGGGCATTACGCTGGTGCTGTTTCTGGCGTGGCTGGGCTTTACCAACAAGACGCTGAGGTTCCTCTCGAGGGACCAGTCGCCGCTCTACTGACCGACTGACTGCTTCGGATGAATCCTCCCTCTTCTATCGCAATGAAGATCATCGTTAGAGAGGGTGCATATATATG